TAGTGTAGCCCTATTATAAACAATATCAATTTTAAACTTTCACTTATCTGCTCTGAGTTACTTTCTACTGTTTTTAGATATCTAGCAGAAAATATAAAGGTAATGTGAAGGCTGGATGGTATTTCAGAAGTATACAAGAGTAGGTCTGAACAAGTGTTAGACATGTGGTGTGTGTTTGTGAACCAGAATGTGTGAGGTTGTGATTATTTGATTTTGTGTATGTGTGAGATAAAAATCCCCAGCAGAATCCCTGGGATCAGCCTGGATTTAAGGAGCTCCTGACTCCGATGAATTGGACGCCTTGTCTCTATCCCATCTTACACTCTCCTCCTCCCCTTCATCTCTCTGTCGCCTCGTCTTCACTGCGTCTCCTGCAGCTTCCCATCCTTATTTTTTTCTCACTAAGAAACTTTCTACGCCTGCTTTGCTATCTCTTCATCATCTCTTATCGTTTCATCATCTTCCCGTCCTCCTTTATTCTTTAAACCTGTCTCATTTGCTTTTTCTCACATTTTTCTCATTCCTTCCTTCTCTCCTAATTTCATCCCACCCTTCCTCTCATTTCCTCTGATCCCTGAGGATTGTGTCCAGTTTCGGGGTATTTTCATTCGACGTGCACCGCGCACACTGCGGCATTGTGCATGTGTATGTTTGTGCATTTACGAGACAGAGCGTGCATGTGTGTCTGCCACTGAGTCTACCTTAAGGTGTCTGAGAATGTGTGTGTGTCTCCGCCTCCCCCCCCGCCCCACTGCGTCTACATTTGTGTGTGTTCAGATTATGCTAAGCCCTCTCTAATATTTATCCTGGCTTTTTTTTTAAAGCCAATCTTGTTCCCTTTGGTGAGACCACAGCCTGTGGCTTCACACACAGAGCCACAGACTCAACCCGTTGCAGTTGTTTGAAATGGGATAGGCCTCGCTCCTAATTGGGCAGGTGTTTTTCCATGGCCAGTTGTTTTCTTAACACTGTCCTACAGTTTCATGGTACATATGTGGGTTGTGTGTTTTAGCCTAGTTTTTACATCAACATCAGGTAAGGAAATTGGCCACCGCAGGAGCAGCTTACTCTGAAACAAAAATCACATCGTATAAGCGCTACGTATCACGGCTAACGTCTCGCCTGCTCCTTTGATTTCTCTAAAAAGTAAGAATTTTGTTATACGGTCAGAGTTTTAGTGAACTTTTATATTTCTTTTGTCAGTTGTCATGTCTATATTTGACCCTAAACTGCTTAATGTGTGTTTTACAATTTGTAATTGAAGTTAGCTGTTGTACAGACAGTAACTGCTTCCAGAATAATCACATGAATTTAAAATAACACCACATTAACTTGTTCCATTGCCATTAAAAGCAGAGTACATGTCGATTTATTATCATCTCTAATGCTATGCTATTTTTCACTTGAGAAATTACATTGAATGACCAATGCATGAAAGTGCAATGGGTTAAAAAAAAACTGTTCACACTGCTCATTATCTAGACATGTATCAATTTTTCTTTTTGCACTGTTTCACATGGTCTAAAAATTAGTTTTTTATGAGGAAATAGTGTATGATTAGTCTTTTTACATCTCTGTGCTGCTGCTTCACGCTTTTGATGAGATCCTGCTTCAAATGGCGTGAAAGTGTCATTACAAAGTATATAGAGTTCAAAGTTCAAGCGCGTCAGGACACGGTATGCTCCTTTTGCTGTGATGTGACCTCATGGTGTTTTATTCTTTGAACATTTACAATTGACTGACTGGGAATTAACTTTTTATGTAACGCAATCCAACCCAACTAATCACATAATTATCAGCCGAATAAATCACAGACGGTAGGTCCTGCTGTCAGAATTCCATTCAGATCAGCGCAGACAGAGTGTTTGCGTTGAGTTCTGTGAGATTAGGTCATGCAATGAATGGGTCTTTGCTGCATTTTTGTGAGTAGCTACTGTTTGAAGACTGTAGCATCCATCAATTGTCAAAGTCGGCTTGTCCTTTCAGGCTGGCAGTCTGGACAGATCGGCAGTGCATCAGAGGGCAAAACAAAGACAAGCAGGATACATAACCATGTATGTACACACTCACACCTACAGGAAAATTAGAGACACCAGTTGAACTAAAAGTTATACTTTTGTTCTGTAAGAAGATGTAAGTGCACTGGAAGAGAATCCACACGTGTAAAGGGAAAACATGGAAACTCTCCAGAGGCTAGAAGTTCCAGGGACCAAACCCAGTGGTACTAACTGGGCAACTCAGTACCCCATGCCATAGTTGAATTGTAATACTGTTTTAAACGTGGAAGAAAGGCATCCCAGGAACATTCTTCAACTATGAAAGAGTGTCTCTCCTAAAGTATTGGAATCTATTTTGCAGGTTATTTTTTTTTTTATACGTCATGATTTAATGCTGGTAAAAGTTCTCAGTCTTCCAGGTCATAGTCATTCCAAAAAAAGAAAATGAAAAACAATCCAATGAACTTTGTTTCCAAGTTTGAAGACTTTTTGCTTCCCATCCAGGAGGCTTTTTCATTTTCAAAATGTCTGTCTGTTCCGATTTGCATGTTTTTAAAACAAAAACAAGGCTTTGTTGGGCTACTGTATAAAACCTCAAACTCAACGCTATTCCTGACATTTTGAATTGAAAAGGCTTCCTGGATGGGAAGCGAAATGTCTTCAAACTTGGAAACAAAATCCAGTGGATTGTTTTTCATTTTCTTTTTTGTAATGATTTAATAAAACTGGATTTCAGGACTGCCTTAAACTACTGTGCTCTTTACCAGGACAACCTAAAAACTAAGATTTTATTTCTGTGTCCATCCAGATTAAACAAAGAATGGAATACTTAATAAATACTAAACAAATGCACAACACTGTTTTAAATAGTGCATAAAAATGCATGTTTAAAATATTTATCTTAGTCTATTAACATTGGACTTCAAGTTGAGAATAAATCTGATTCACCATCCCAACTACAGAACCTTTTTTCCCTCTATAAAAGCAACTTATTTAAGTTTGTGTGTAAAATCAACATTATTTGCTAATTAGATTTACAGTTTTCATCACGATGGCTGTAAACATCTGGGCAACATCCTGGACTCCTCCACCATGTTTATAACAAATTTACATGTATTCACTCCATTTTGTTTTTTTCTTTTATTTAATCAAGTTTATGTTGTATATTTATTTTGTATCTATATTAAATTTCTGATGTAATAATCATTTTAAGATATGGTTGAAATTTTCCCTGAGTTAAAGAAAGAGTAAAAAGTTTTATGAGTAATTATTTTGATCAAATTATTAATCTCAATAGATTTATTAGCTGTAAATGTTCATAAAGGTCAGCAGTAGAGTTAAGTCACATAGAAAGGTACGTCCTGATCCATTTTTGATGGGTTGGAACATTAGAAGCTGGGTAAACCAGTGCGTGACAACTTGGGGCAAATTTAAGACCGTTTTAGAGCAACTCTGGATTGTCTGGTTCGGGGTTTAAGTTGTTTCCAAATGGCTCTGAAAAGTGGAGACACTAGTGCATTCCATCTTTATTC